TCGATATATCCGGTCGATCATGTGCCCAGAGAAAATAGATTATAAACAATTACTGGATAACGTTTTTGTGATATCCGGAATAATCAAGGTCGTGGTAGTGTTATCAACCGAGACGAAGGCCGAGGCTGATAACACTAACCGAGACCTTGATTATTTAGGATCTCACAAAAACCGAATCTAATAATTGTTTATTATACATTGGTTGAAAAAAATAACGACAAACACGCAGTTGCAAGGAACCTAAATTGATATTGTTATTGAAAATCATGCATTGCGAGCGCAAACTACAGATTTGTTCGTTATCTGCTAACAGATAACTAACTAATCTATAGGTTGCGCTCATCTCCAAAATTAGCCGCGGGGTCTTAGCCAACAAGAAGACAGATAGTAAGTACGATGTACAATAATGAATCAAATCAAGTTGAAAATGAGACTCATTTCCTGACTCAATGTCAGAAATAATCTGCACAGCGGCAGACTTTCTTAAACCAAGCCAAAGTAATAAAACATTGAAGAGAAACAAATCTCAGAGAAAATAAAACTACTTGTAATAAGAATTGTAACGACTATAATGCGAATAACTTGGTTCCGAAATTCATCTGTTCATGTCTGAATTAGTGTACGCCAGGGGCGTAGCCAGCCCATAGACCTGTAGGCCCTGGCCTACAAATTTTTGGTTTGATCACTCTAATGCCTGTATGAAAATTGGGAGTTGTTGGAGTGAGCTAAAAGCTTAAGAGCTCGAAGAGTTGGTGAGGTCAGTGCGTACTAGTCATGCGTGTAATTTTCAGGATATCAGGATATGTCGAAATGAAAGTCAGCCTAGCCTGAGAAAACAGCCAACATTTTGCGACGCCACCAACGGCTTCCCCGCGAAATGACGTCTAAGAAACGAGCGCAGAAATTCCATACTGATGACGTGCCACTATCCAGATCTGGGTAGTGACAAGTCATCAGTATGGAATTTCTGCGCTCGTTTCTTCGACGTCATTTCGCTGGGAAACCGTTGGCGGCGTCGCGAAATGTCGGCTGTTTTCTCAGCCTAAATTCAGCCAGGCCTCAACTAGTCGAAAAGTTTGCTACGCCCCTGAACGCTAAACGCTACTCTTCTCAAGTGAAAGGGTAACTTAATATTCTGATTAATGTGTTTAATTAGAGTACTATTTATTTCGCTTTGTACATAATTTTAGAAATGAACATTAGCATTTGTAATACTAGTCTGTTAGGTAAGACTTTTAAGTCTTAAAAGAGCCGCTAAGTTTACTTGACCAAAAATTTGTGTGTGAAGGCCTAAGTAAAATCTCAAGTAACTTTGCTTTGCATCTCATTAAAGTCGAAAAGTTGAAACGATTCAAGAAAGTTTCAAGCGACTCGAAAACCATCCTTATGAGCGACTTTATAGCTGACTTGCGGTTATTTGCGGTTACTAGAGCTTGGAGAAAGGCGAAACATGTCAATCAATCTTAATTATCTTAACCTGAAGTAAAAAAGAATCGGTTGTGTGTAAAGCTTTATTTAACTTGAAGTAATTAAAATTGTCTTGAAATATTTCTTAGCTTATTTAGGCTCTAGTGTAAATTAAGACTACCGCTGTAAAATGTTCTTGTCGTACAAATAAAGCATCCTCCTCCTACTACTACTACCGCTACCCCTACCACTTCTACTACCATTGCCACTACCACTTACCACTCACAACTACCACCTCGATTGCTACTAAGGAAACCTAAAAGATCAGTAGATTCGGTTTTTTGACGATTTCCAAATAAAAATGTTTTACTGTCAACTAAGAATTATATTCTTACCAGACCAGACAAAACACACGATATCATCTGTTGTAACTTCAAGGATTTCAGGAAAGAAGCGATATTCCATGGCGGGATAAGCCTGTACAATGTTTCCTCGCTTTCCCATCCCAAAGATATATTTTATGGTGGAATGCTGATATTTATCAGGAAGAAAGGTCCTTGGTTTGAGCAGGAACACGTGAGTTCTGTCTTGAAATGTTCGTCCAAGCTGTGCGGTGTTCAAAGCGAGCTGAAGATCTGTATGTCTGTCAACAGCTTTAGTTTTCGGGTTACCCTTCACTCTGCAACATACAATATAGGATTGAGATTAAAAATACAAGCTAGTCCAGGGTGGTTTGTTCGCTATGGAAGGGGTAGCAAAGGAGCTGTTCGGAAGGTCTCTCCTAATTGGTCTCGGGAAACAATGACATGTCATTCTTCCAATTGTTTTAGTATTGTTTGGGGTCAGGGAAACGCACCATTGGTGACTTTTCTTCCAGGCAGCTGCTACATGACGCTATGGAAGGGGTGGGCATCAGACCATCCACCAATAAACAATAGATGTCCTGCCTCTTTTTATAACTGCATGGTGAGCTGAGGCTGCATTCTCCCTAATCTTTGTCCTAATCATAATCATATTTCATAATCATAATCATAATCGTAATCAAGGAGGGTAGCTTTTTAATAGAAATCTGCGTAATTAATACAAACGTCTTGAAACAACGATATAATACAAACTCTAATTTTATTTGAACTTACTTTGAATTATCTTTGGCATCGAATTCGCGTGGAACATCGTCAGTGGTGATGTTATATCTACGAAAAGAAATGAAATTCTCTTTTTCTTCGAATGAACACATATTTTATGTAAACAATATTATAGATAAGCAATCAGGTTACATCGATGGTAGCCTTCTAGTACCTGCAAGGACCACCCTTAACCCTCTAATAAAATAAAGGTGTCTCTCTCACACTGACAAAATCCACGGATAATGTTAGATCCATCTCAGTCGCTTATCCACTATGAGGGAATCTAAGACAGTCTTGGATCCTGGATTCCACGCCATGGATTCCGGATTCCAGGTACCGCATTTCCACATTCACCTATTACATGTCCCCACTGTGTGTACATGAACATACTTACACACTCCCTGTTCTTGTTAGGTGCCCCCCCGTCCCCACCTAGAAATGAAGTTTGAATCAGGACAGGTTTGTTAATGCGCCGTCACGAAAATCAAATAGGATGGGCTTCTGTTTACACATTGAATGGTGATTTCCGCGTGGCATCTGTTTCTTAAACCAGGATAAAATAGTTTACGGTGCTTAAATCTAAATTCTTGGCCGTTTTATTCTAGAGTATTTTAGCTAAATTACAAATAACGGGAGCTATTTGATATCCAGCTAATTTTTGGTATCTTTTTCATGGAGTTAAAATGAAGCCAGAACAAACGAGACTTTGGTTCCTTTAAGGGTCGTTTTTCCAACTTTCTGGCGAGCTTCTTCTTTTTCGAACTTTCTGAGGGTGGTCCAATACTGTTTACTAGACTCCAGTCGTATCCCCTTGCTTTCCATCAGAAAACCGGAAGTGTAGTGGTGAAACGTCCTACCAAGTGTAGGAGATCCATTGGGCACAAATAGATTCCAATTATTAAATGATAGGAGACAATCAGTTGTTATGGACGGGGTGCAGTCTGAACACAGGTTAATAACACATGGTGTTCCCCAGGGATCGGTCCTGGGGCCGTATTGCTTATTTTTTTTGTAAACGATCTTCCTCTTGCAGTTTCCCGGTCAATTGTTGACATCTATGCAAATCAGATACTACGTTAAGTGCCTCTGCTGCAGTTTCAGATCTACCTACAGTACAGCAGCGACTGCAGAAAGACATAAACAGGATAGCTGATTGGACATCTGAAAATAGGATGATGCTAAATACTTTCAAGAGGGTGTGAATGGGGTTAACCGACTAGCGACAAAGGGCAAAAAATATTACTGACTACCGACAAAATGAGTAAAAAATTACCAACTACCGACAGGAACAATATTAACCGACTACCGACATGGGCTGATATTATCAATATTTGTTTCCAGAAAAAAGAGTATTTTTGCATTTGTTTTCTAGCCTTTAGGTAGTAACCTCTTTAAATTTATGACTCATAAGATGGCCGAAAGATCGGAAAATGAGACATTCTTTTTAGAAACGGTTGTATACCAAGGCACAACATTCAGCGAAAAATGAGAAAAAGCTATCCTTGACGTGACGCATTTCAAACGGAAACCTTACAGTATATACATTTTCACCTCTTGTCATCCACCAGTTGTTAAAGCGCCTGTTTGACGAACGAGAAGCCTTGAAAATCCTACGAACTAACTCCTCTGAGGAAGTATTTCAGATTTCAAAAGCGCTTGATGGACAGAGGGTAGCCACACACAATTTTGAAAGCAAAATTGCTATTAGAAGTAAAACTAACAGAAAGGAAGGCAGCTCTCCTGAAGCAAAACAACAAGGAAGAAAAAGAAATATTGCCTTTCGTGGCACAATACCAGCCCTTAGTGTCTATTAAAAAAGAGGCTTTAATGAAAAAGTGGAATCTCATACAAAACCAACCACTACCTTGGAAAAATTTAAAAGAACCACATAAAGTGCTATTTCTTTGAGAAAGGAAAGTTTTTGGCAAAGGACATACTTGTTAGAGCGAAAACATAAGAGGGATAGATGTGCAGCCTGTCTCCCCTTGCAGTTTTTCACTAAAAATAATTTAAGTATCCAAAAGGCTAGAGTCCATTAATTAATTAATTAATTAATTACTTTTTACTGTGCCCTGTAGTCGACAGGGAAACCAAGTTCGCATTTACAATAAAAGCTTTGGTGATTTTATCAGTACTATATTCATTTGGCAAAAAATGGAAATAAAAGATCATGTTGGATAAACAAACAAGAGTTAATGAACGGTTTAGGTGCAATCAAATGATACATTCTTATAAGTTTTACTATTTCCTTAGGGTTCAAAGTCTTGAAAAGTGGGTGTAATACATAAAAATATTAATAATTAACAAGCGTTTTTACTTATTAACTGAGATTTTCCGACAACCGACGAAAATCGAAAAGTTTAACCGACTACCGACAAAGATCGAAAATTTTAACCGACTACCGACAAAGTTACTGAATTTTAACCGACAACCGACAAGTGGACCTCCCCATTCAGACCCTCTTTCAAGACAAAAACTCTGCTTGTAACTAGTAAGCGCTTGGAGAAGAAAATTTCAAACAAGACTCTCAAAGTCTCTCAAACAAGGCTCTCACAGAAGCTACGTGGGGTAACATTAGACAGCCACCTAAATTTTATTGAACATATTGATGAACTTTGCAAGAAAATGGCACAAAGGATTTCTGTACTTAAAAAGATTAAGCGTAATTTGCTACTTGCAGGGCGCAAGCTGCTTTTTAATGCATTGATTAAGCCCATATTGTTGTATGGATCTTACGCATGGACCCGGCGGCAACGGAAGAGAATGTGGAACGTGTATTAAACTGCAAAAGCGGGCTGCTCGCGTAATTTTAGATGCAAATTTAAGAGATAGGAGTAAAGACCTTTTAGACGGTTTGATTGGCTGCCGTTTAAGGAGGAAGTAAATATTCAACAGTGTAGTTCAATATTTAGGCGCATACGAAACGAAGATGACTGCCCAGACTATGTAACGAAACTATTACCTAGAAACTCAGATCTCAGGAGCGACAGCAAAGCTAGCCGTTATGGAAGGTTTAATTTGGTACGTCCTTTTTATAATAGAGAAACGGAAGGGGGACGTACTTTTAAAGTTAGTGGAGCTAAGCTATGGAATAGGATTCCTCTTGATATGCGAAAGAAGGACACCGCTGGCGCGTTTAAGAATGCTCTTGTTTTAGCCTAGTTCTTATGTGTATGTTTCATATTTTTAAATTCTAATGAACATATCACTTTTTCTTATCTTATAGTATTTTTAAATTCGCTTTGTTTATCTTAGTAGTTATTAATATCGTAATTTAAGATTGTATCTTTTAGCATTTTTAAATTTTAATTCGTGGTGTCTATTTTTATTAGTTCTAAATATTACAATTACGATTGAGGGCCACTAGTTCATCAGTGTTTACTGTCATGTGTTACCCTCATTAAATAAAGTTGCTACCTACCTACCTAACTACCTACCTAATGGAAAAGTTCATTTTCTATTCGTGAGAGACTTTCACTTATGTTGGATGAGGGGGTAGAAAGTCGTTCCGATGGAGTCCATTGGATCCATTGGAAACGAATAGATTCCGATGGAAAACTAGTACATTTTCTATTCGTGAGAGACTTAGTACATCTTGTACTTTCTTATGTTTATTTTTGTCGATTGCGTTTCGGGCCTCTTAGGATGCCAAGAACTCGAGAACAACACTACCCTACTAAGCTAATTACTTATTCACACAACAAGAAGATTATAAGACGTTGTATGGGAAATATTCTTTGCTCACCAAATCAGCAAAATGTGCATTGAATAAAGCGTTAAGCTTACCTTTAGCGTCTTCTTGTTTTTTCTTTGCGTTCTGACTGCATTTCAGACCTCCTAGGCCCCGGGTTTTTTTTTTTTTTTTTACGGGTTTTTTTTTTTTTTTTCACCCAGCTTTTAGCCATAAACCAAAACAAGCGCCCTCCAAATGTAATGTATTCCTCATTCTGCTAACCTTTGATAAAAACATATGGCAGCCACATGAGTTAACTTTGGTGGTCTTTGTTTCGCAGGTAACGGGTTCTTGCCCGTGCGCGTAGAGGCTTCTCTCTTAGCTCTGTTGTTCCCTTCATAGCCCAAAGAGGGAGGCGTATACACCCATTTGCTAGGCTCTTATTCTGATTCGTGGTTCAAAGAACGAGATATGTAAATGTGTGCCGTTCTTGCTTTGCAGCACTTTTGTCTCGCTTTATGGATTGAAGAAAGAACGAAGCATATACTCGTGTACTGGCCTTGTTCCGCAGGGCTCTTGTCCCGTTTCATGGCTTTAGAGTGCTTGTTTCGACTCGTGGCTTTTAGCGTGCCAGTCTCGCATTCGACTCGAATTAGGGCCCGGGAGACTCAGGGCTTTAAGGTGTTTCGATACAGTTTTTGGGAGACCATACCGATGCTTTTCAATCACCTTAAAGTGACTTTATCCTTGTTCGATCGCCACAGAATTTTCCCCATTGATTAACTATGAATTGAAGTTTGTCAAAATGCAGTTTTAGTAAAATTGATATCAAAAAAACTTTGAAATCGATAAAATCCGAATTTTATTAATAATTTTATTGCATATTTTGAATGTAAAACATTATCAATATTCACATTGAAATGTACTAGCTGTGGAGGTATGTATATGGTGGGTATTAATTAGGAAGAATTGTAACGCGGATTTTGTCCGGTTCGTAGGCTAGGTTTGTCTTGAAATTTCAAGGTGTTACAGTAAATCAATCTTAATGAAAGTTTCAGACATGATTATATATACCTGGATCTTTGCGTTTTGCTTGAATTCAAACGGACAGAATATTTTACTGCTCACGGAGGTATACGTTCCTAGTGTCGGATTTTCAGTAGAGTAAGAGAATAAGAGTAAGAAGTTTATTGTACACTCCCCTGCGGGGCTTTTCAGTGATACAAGACAAAGCTATAATTCATTATCAAGGATATATATATATAAAATATCTACCTAAAAGAAAGAAAAAAAATTACCTAAGTTTCCCTTTTTTAAATTCCTATGATACAATAAAAAGTTAAAACCTACACAACGCTCGCGGGATAAAGAAATTTATGTAACCATAATTGCCTCAGTTTCTGTTTAAAATCCCTATGAAATTCTCACTTAATTTGAGATCTTTATCAAAGCTGTTCCACAGACTGACAACTCTGTACTGGAATGATCGCTGACCAGCAGCCGTTTTAAAACATAGCACGTTTTACGCGAGCTATTTTGAATGCTTGGGTGATCGGCAATCTACTGTTTTAATCCTAAATCAAGGCTATGTTTCGCGCAAATTTGGGTATCGCTATACATTATTGAAAACGAGAACCTCTGCGCATAACTGATTCGTTCCTTATACTACCGATTCACTTTTTGTCTTTCCTTCAGACAACTGGTGCAAAATAAGCAAATTGTTAACGTACTATGAATATCAACTCACCAAACGTTGCTTAGAGGGAAGACTCGAAGGTTTCAAGGTTTCTTCATGATATCTTAAAATAATGAAGCTTGTCGAAGAGCGAATATAATAACGTAGAAATGTCACGATTTTCATCATTGTTGTAGATGGTTGCATCATCATTATTCACGACGTTGTCACGTGCGATTCTACTTTAAAGAAACAGTCTTTAAGTCTGACGACTTACTTCTAAAAGGGTTATAAGTTATTGCTTCTTAAAAGAAAAGAACCTTTGCTTAGGAACTAGTTACAAAACTAAAGATGTCTTCATACGTTCAAGTTACTATTATTACTGTGAAAAGCCAGTCTGGATAAGATGGACAGTTTGCACGTGCAAGTGTCGGACTTTGCCCCTTTCCTGGGTTGTACGTGAGGGAATTCAAGTTATCAGACCGTAATCTTCACTAACTAGCACATCACAGGTGGATATAGAAAGCTACTTCGTGCCTTTGAACGTGGGGCTGTAGAATTTTTAGTGGCAAAAAACCTTGCTGGAAGTCACGTACCGCTGGAAGCCCTTTCTTGCCAATCAAACGTGAACTGCACAAGCCAAACACGACCGCAAGACCGTGGTCACATGATATTCTTAGGTTTGCGGTTTCCCACGAAAAGTCTGATTTTAACGGTCTCTGTTATCTTACCTTATACGCAACACGCAGCGTTGAGTCACGTTGGAAGGAAAGCAAGGAACTTTCCACTTGTATGATGAAAACTTCCCCTCCGTGGTTACTCCATTGTGGTTGATGTAAGTAGGAGGTGCGTACACAACATCAGGCGGTTTCTGAATAAGAACATACTGTTCTAGTTCATCTGCTCCTTGTGAAACCTTGTGTGGCTCATACGGAACGCCTCTCTTCAATTGCATATCTCCGATTTGATGACAAGTGCTCAGGACCCCAGCAGTTTTCTCAATAACGTTGGTGATGAACCTTGTCCACTTTCCACCTTGACTCTTACAATCCTCCGCAGTGAGGTATTTAGCGACACACTTTTCCCCTGGTTGGCCATCATTCTTTTTTGGACAATCGCCATGTCCTGGTAGTTTGGTTGGCATGATGCAGAAATCTGTGAAATGCAATTTCATTATCATCATCATCATCATCATCATCATCATTATAAACGACGATCCCCCACGCATTTCGGAAAAAACCAAAGGAACTAAGGTTATTTGAAGGCAATAAAATGGTTATTGGTTACGATGAAGCTTTAACCGAGGTAAAAGAAAACTATTTAATGATAAACTGCATCTGTGATCAAATCCTGTCACAAAACATCTACAAAGACATAAAACACAGGAACTAAATACTCAATATTCATGGCCTTCAAAGCCTCTAAAAGTGATACTCGACAGAGCAACAGAAAGATTTGCTTAGTCAAAGTTTACGATGTTTCATGCACTGCATAACCTACGCTATTAGAGAGAAAGCAAGGAAACCCGCCGGCATTCAAGCTGACTCTAAGGTCGCTTTTCACAATATTAGCTTCGGTTAAAACGCTCCTGCTGATAAACGCGATTTAAGGTGTTTCGATACAGTTTTTCAGAGGAGGCTACACCGATATTTTTCAATCGCCTAAAAAGTGGTTTTTCCTTGTCCGATCGCTATAAAATTTTCACCAGTAATTGGCTATGGATTGAAATTTGCCAAAATGTAGTTTTAAGTAAAATCGATATTACTATGACAACAATAAACAAAAAAAAATGAAATTGAGAAAAGCCGAATTTTGTGTGATCTAGACCAGCTTCTGAAAATCCAACACTAGGAACTTAAAGTTTGGTGTTAAGCAAACAATCTCCGTAAGAAGTAAAAAATTCTGTATGTTTGAATTGAACTAAAACGAAAATATATTTAAAAGCTTAAATTTTCAATAGCCGTGATAGATTATTTAATAAAAACGTTACAAATGTCTCAAATCATTCTTAAGTAGCGTCAGAATGCTGCTTAATATAATATTTTGATGCTCCGAAAATTTTGGTGTATTTTCGTTCTTGCGATCTTAAAAACTAACCCGTTTTCTCGATCACCACCTGTCTAAGTGCAACTTCATTCAAACTTTGGACTTTTAGCGCTTTTTTGTATATCTCTGAAACGACTAGAACGAATTTTTTTAAAATCTCTTCACATAATCTTCATAATGTATAAAATAAGGTCTAAAACTGTCATTGAGATTGATTTACTGCAACATCTTAAAATTTCAAGACAAACCTATCCTATGAACCTGTCAAAAATCTGCGTTACAACATTAACTGTTTTTACGTTATGATAATTTTTCAAAAATAATGCGCACTATACATACCTCCATGACTAGTACATTTTAGTTTGAATTTATCGCATCTTTTGAATGTAAAACATTGACAATACTCACACTGAAATGTACTAGTCACGGGCCACCTTAACTGATTGAAATGAAAAGACGGCTTTAGACCCTGTTTACATGGAGTGGGGGACCCCGGTCTAGTGGGGTAGGTTTCTTTTGTTTTGTGTCCTCCAGAGCGTGAAAACAAAAGAAACCAACCCCACTAGACCGGAATCCCCCACCCCATATAAACAGGCCCTTAGTTGTCGGCAAGTCTGTTAGCAAACAAATTCCTAGATGCGGAATAACTTCACGCATGAATTCACCAGTCAAAATTTTGACCACGCAAAGAGGGAGGAAAAAAGAGGGGTTGGAGTGTGACCAAAGCGTGACCAATCAAAAACTAAAGCCTTACAAATTAATGTAATT